AGAGCGAGAAAGCTAGAGAGAGAGAGAGAGAGAGAGAGAGAGAGAGAGAGAGAGAGAGAGAGAGAGAGAGAGAGGAAGTGAGTGCCAGAGGGGGTAGCAGAGTATTGTCATAATCATTATGATTGCAAGTAAGGTATCGTATACAGTTATTACGGTAGACGTATATAGCTCCAAAAAAGGGCAAAGTATTTCGTTTACCAGAAATGGTGAATACGCTTCTGTCTCATATTTACACTTGATACTCTGTGCTTACAAATATCACTTTGCCAGAATGTCAAATGCTATAAATTTTCAATAACATTTTTAATTATTACTTTACATGAATACATGTATATCATTTTTACAGGAGTATCACTCCTATTTCTAACTGTACAGCTTTCATCATATCTATTCATAACTATAGCTGACCGAGTGATATAGTATCATCATAAACATTATAAATAAAATATAAGAAAAATGCCCATTTTATTTTATTACCTAATCAAGGCCATAACCTTCTGACAGCATGGGGCACCTGCCATTAGAGATAAAGGACAAAATAAAAGAACAAGTTCAATCAAGGTAAATAAAGAAAAAACAACCTTAGAAATGCAACAAACAATATGCACATTATGTTTTATCCACTAAATGTGGATTAATTCTTGCAATAATTATTGAAACATGCTCCTTTATCATTACAAACTTTGTCACGAAATTGAAACCCCTTCCCAGGACTGCTAAGGCTATATTGATCCTCAGGATATTAGCGTTGCTAATTTCTAAAACGCAATTTTTTATAGACATAATGTATATACGTTTTCTCAGTTACTGAAGGGCTATTAAATGTCAGCACTTCCATTTCTTTACAAATCATATTCAACATGCAGTCTCGCCACTGGCTGCTATACAAAATCATGTTTGCTGATGAGTTTACACACGTATGACTTCAAGAAAGAGAACACTAATCCAAACTCCTTCTCATTGCAGAGTGGCTGGAACTGTAACATGGCACTTGGAGAATTAACCTCCAAACTCTTAACAAATTTAACAGAAAACCGCACCAGGGGGCGCTTGCTGACAGGAACAGAATCCATGGCAATGATCAGCCGAGAAACCTCTTTCTCCTGTCCGTATGGCTGCAATTAAAGAAAACAGTCAGTAAACATTTGATTGGGTTTATAATAGAAAATGAAATTGTTGTTTAATTAAATTTTCAATCAGTCAATTCCTCCTAAAATGAGATAAGTAAAGTAAGTAAGTATAAGATAAGTAAGCACGTATAAAATTAAAAATCTTACATCTTGGAAATCCCAGAGCACTTTTTGCTTCGTCTTCTTCCTCTGGTGCCAGGTATGATGTGTTGCCTCGAATATGAAGACTCCTAAATCTTCTTTATCGTCTCCACGCCCGCGATTGTCCTGTCCTGCGCCACGATTATCCTTAATCGCTCCGTTGTCAGTGTTAATCTTATCCTGTATGCTGTCACGCTCGTCCTTGTTCTGCTCTGTGTACTCCCTGTCCTCCCCTATGCAACCTTCACTAGTCGCACCCTCACAGACCTGATCAAGTGCACTACTTGTCTGATTACCAGACGAACTCTGCACAGTCTGCAGGGTTGGTGACACTGCTCCGCTGGTCTGTCTTACCATGGGCTCCAACACTTCACTGCTGGTCTGTCTTGCCGTGGGCTCTGACACTTCACTGCTGGTCTGTCTTGCCATGGGCTCTAACACTTCACTGCTGGTCTGTCTTGCCGTGGGCTCTAACACTTCACTGCTGGTCTGTCTTACCATGGGCTCCAACACTTCAGTGTTAGTCTGTGTTG